TAGTGGCAGGATATTACAGAGGACGCTTGGGCTTTTGTCGGTGGTCAGGGAGGGTCTTGGTATTCCCCTTCTTCAGGATTCGTCCCTCGCCTCCTGGCCGTTTTTGTTTCTTTCCTCCTCCCGGGGATTCAGAAAGGGCACGGGTGCTCCAGGAGGAAGTAGGGACCATGCTGCCAAGGCAGAGATGCCCTTGGGGCTCACGACAGCTCCTTTGGTGTTCACCAAGTTGCTGCTGGTGTTTCCTTCACTCCTGCAGAATAGACGTCCACATCTATTTCGACGACTCCCTCATGCCTCTTTTGGTGTGGGAATCGTTAGTGAAGGACACTCGTCTGGTCCTGAAACTCTTGCTCAGAGTCGGCTTCATTCCTTCCAGAGAGAAGTCAGAGGTTCCTTCATATTAGGACTTCTTCTTCCTGGGGAACCATTTTGACATGGTTCGGGGCTTAGCCCTTCCACCTCTGGAGAAGTTTGAGAAGGTCAGGGCTCTGGCTCTGACTTTCATCACTTGGTCGCTTGTCCAGGTACATTGGTTCCTCAGTTTTCTGGGGTATCTCAACTCCTTGGCATATGTGGTCCCCCTAGGGAGGATTCACATCGGACCTCTCCAGATGTTCCTCCTGTCTGACTGGGTTCCGTCATCCAGGAGGCCTGGATCCCGCTTACCCAGTCGGTCAGGGAGTTCTCTTGCTGGTGGACCATTCAGGAGAACGTTTTCCACGGGGTACCTCTGACCAAGCCTATCCCCTCTATGATCCTGTTCATGGACGCGTTCATGACAGGAATGTGAGCTTACCTCGATGGGGGAGTGGTCTGGCGAATAACTCTCAGAGCACATCAGTGTACTCGAGATGAGACTGTTCATTTGGCTCTGCAGTCCTTTAGGGGTATCCTGCAGTCCAAAGTGTGGCTACCGACAACAGTTGTCGCGTATCTGGAGAGACAGGGGCCACCAGGTCTCATGTCCTGTGTGCCCTTTCCATCCACATCCATCTTCTCTGCCAGGACATGCAGTTGACCATAGCGGTCAAGCATCTTTCTGGCAGGCTGAGTGTGTTGGTGGCCACTCTCCAGGCGCCACCAGCCGGTGTTGACGGAATGGCAGCTGTGTCCCTTGATTTTCAAGGGGAATTGTCAGGCGTGGGACAGACCTATTATAGACCTGTTTGCCACTTCCCTGAACAACCAGCTGCTAACCTTCGTCTCCCCGGTCCCAGACCGTAAGGCGTGGGCTGTGGACGCCCTTTCTCTGGAATAGGAAGGGACGTATGCATATGCATTCCCTCCCTTCATCCTGGTGGGCAGGGTTCTACAGAAGTTCTGGGAGCATCACTGCTCCTTACTTCTGAGAGCCCCTCTGTGGCCGAGGCAAGCTTGGTTTCAGGAGCTCTTGTCGTTTCTGGTGGAGGAGCCCTTGGCTCTCACCACCAGACCGAATCTCCTTCGCCAGCCTTGGCCCAGAACGACACACTCTTGACCAGAGATCCTCCACCTTCACGCGCTGAGGCTATCTCTGGAAGCCACGCCAAGGCAGGCTTTTCTCAAGAGGTGTCAGATTGCATTGAGCAATCAATCAGGGCTTCCTCTTCTGCCGTCTACCAGTCACGTTGGATGATCTTCTGTGATTGGTGTGTCGGCAAGGAAGCTTATTCATTCGAAGCCTCTGCATTTGATTGCGGAATTCCTAATCTCTCTGTTTAGGTACCGCTATCTGCCACCTGGCACTATTGCTGGCTATCGTACAGCTATTGCCAGAGTTCTTGCTTGTTATGGCAGGAAGGAGATCGGTTAGTCCTCCTCTCTTTCTGCCCTAATCAGAGGCTTTGCTATGAATAGAGTTGTTTTTAGCGAAGAATCAGGTTCCGGGGTTCTCGCACGATCCCATCAGGATCCTGGCTGTGACTAGCTCGGAGGAGCGAGATAGGTTGCTTTGTCCTTGTCGGGCTCTTAGGTTTTATCTTGATAAAACCAGGGGGGGGCGGGGCTCTCGATCCCGTCTGTTTTGCCCATTAAACAGGGGCAACGAGATATCTCCTCCCAGTCGGTTTCCAGGTGGGTTTGCCAGGTGATTTAGTATGCTTACGAGCATTTTGATGATCTGGCTCGGGCGAGAGTGAAAGCGCGGTCTCACGAGGTCAGGGCCCTTGCTTCATCGTGGGCCCTTCTCTCAATGAGTCCTCCTTTCAGGAGGTCATGTCTGCAGTATTCTGGCAGGGCAGGGATACCTTAACAGATTTTTATCTGTGATCCCTAGCTTCCCACTCAGAAGGCCTGTATTCATTGGGACCTTTGGTGGTGGCATAGTCAGTGGCTGGGCCTCCTCGTTAGCCCCGGGCCATGTCTTTCCGTACGGCGGCATGTGGGTACACCTGCTCTTTCACAGAGAGGTCCCTTCCTTCACTTTAGCACTCTGTTCTCCCTCCCTACTACTTTGGTTGTGCTGAAGGGGCTGCCTGGCTTCTAGTCACCACTACGGTAAGACGAATTCGCATACTAAAGTTATGGTAATTATTACTGAAATGAAATTGAGGTTTTTTAATGTAAAACCAATTTTCATGATGTAATACTTACCATAACTTTATGGAGTCCCACCCTATCCTCCCCTCTTCCTTATCTGCCTGGCTGCCCCTCTGTGGGGTTTACGCCATAAAGGTTATTAGAGGAAGGGAGATCACTCTGCGTTCCTGCCGTGATGGCTCATGGATCGTAGGGAGGGTGGGATTGTTTTTCTTTTGAATCTTTTGTTGTTGGGATACAAAGATGGGTGTAGGTACTGTATTTGCATACTAAAGTTATGGTAAGTATTACATCATGAAAATTGGTTTTACATTAAAAAACCTCAAGTCTACAGGTATTGATCACACTTGTGTTTGTACAGGTGTCTGACCACCACATAATTACCAGTACAGCAGAACCACTACTCACTATTGTACTGCTTTATCATATAGGAAAATACTCATTTTATGCACATATTTCAAATATCTAACAATGTTCATTTTTATTGACTTTCAAGATAATTATTTCACGTTTTTTAGGTGGGAAGGTGGAGGAATAGGATGGGATGTTGGGTAGGTGGTGGTGGGGTTAACAAGAGGATAAGAGGGCCTGTATGGTTCACAATGATAACAAAGAAAAGAATGCCACAAAATCATCATGTGTTTTATAATGTTTGTGGTGCCAATGTACATAACAAATGATATAAAGTGCCTGTGGTCATATAACTAATAATAATTGCTCTTAATACTTGGTTTTAGAGAAATAGTGTTTTGATATGACCACATATTAATACTCTTGATCTTCTGAAACTTGAAAATTTAATTTTTCAACCTAATTTACCACTCTGACTTTCAAATTAGGTCAAGGTCATTTTATAGCACTCCAACCCAGGTATTATTGACCTACTGGTCATATATCAGTACCCTGGGTCATCTGAAACTTGAGGAAGTTTCTGACTTTTTTTTACCCCTGTGACATTAAAAATAGATCAAAGCCCTTGATACTTATTAAGAACAATTGGAGGACTATGTAGCAATAAGTAATATACTACAGTGTACAGATATTTACAGAGGATATTACAAATTTCCACATACCAGGTATGTGAAATTTAAGAAACCAGTCTTCAATTTTTCATTGTATCAAGTCCTATGACATTTGAAATGGAAAATTTCTGTCTATCACAAAACATAAACACTTTTTTTAAGTGAAATTACCACTTTTTTTTAGACAGATACAATATCTAATTTGATGATATCATCACTTTATATCCGTCATTACTTTGTGCAACTCAAATGAGTTAATCTGTATCAAACTTGGAACACTTGAAATACTGAAGTTCTGATAGTGTATAACCCAGTAGGAGTAGTGGGGAAAGCCCAGTGAAATACAGGGAGCAGAGGTATAAATGGGTAACAATAAACAGTACAAGGTAGGGTCACACAGGTCACATAGGTATGGAAGTGATGGGACAAGATGGAAATAAACCCCAGAGTAAAAGGTGTGTGGACCTGGAAAAGGAGCTAACAAATCTTAAAAATCCGATGGGTGTTATAAATTAAGTCACTCTCTTATTTCGGGTCACAAACACTCCAGTCTGTGGTAAGGTATGAGATACACTCTTTGGACATATAACTTCCCATATCTGTAGGACAGGAAAACCCTGTATACCATATTTAGTCAAATTCATACCTGATATTTTGGATTATTGATAGATAGAGTAACACCTACACTCACCGCAGGTAAATTTGAGGGAGGTCATCCTTAAATGGCCCATGATGTTAAAGGATGTAAAGCAACTATATAACACCAAAAGTAAGAAACAATCCAACCATCATCCCCACAACACCAAACCCCACCTCTGCACCCATACCTACCCACCCACCTACACCCACAAATCCCATCCCCACCTCTGCATCCACACCAATCCATCTCCTCTTCCTGTATACACACCAAACTACACCCACCTCCACATTCATCCCATCAATTCTGTCTCCCTGCACTCACACCCAACTACACCCACCCACACCCACTCATCCCAACCTCCACACTCAACCCATCTATCCCGTCTCCCTGCATCCACACCCACCCACACCCAATTCCACACTCACACCCGCCCATCCTGTCTCCCTGCACCCACACCCAACTACACCCACCCGCACCCACCCGCACCCACCCGCACCCACTCATCCCAACCTCCACACTCACACCTGTCCATCCCGTTTCCCTGTACCCACACCCAACTACACCCACCAACCCACACCCACCCCAACTCATCCCAACCTTCACACCCACACCTGTCCATTCCCTCTCTCCGCACCCACACCCAACCACCTCTACCTCCGCACCAACACCCACATCCATTCTCCCTCCCGCACCTACACACTGACCCACACCAACCCCTACATCCCTACCTACAGACACCCGTCCATCCCCCCTCCCTACACCAACACTCACCTACACACTCAACCAGTGTATGTGATTAGAGTTCACAGTTATGACCTTACCTTAGGAGCAAGGATCTGGGTAGCCTTGTTGACCGCCCATACTGGCAGTTTTCCTGATGGACAAAAACAAAACATTATATGTATACCAAAACAGTATAATACTTAACTGTAATTCATCTAGAATACCATTTAATGGACACAACAATAAATTTCAGCTACTTAGACAAAAAATGTTATTTTTACAAAATAACATGTAAAATGACACATTTACAGTGAGATATTTTGATTTGAAAATCTGAATTTCACAAATTCCAAATTCCCTTGATAGCTGGTGTTACAATGAATGTTCAAAAATGCCTTTTCAATTAGTGTAGATCATGAATTTAGAAATTTACAAAGAAGTTGGATGATGTAACGAATTCTTCCGTGGCTGTTAGGACATGACAGTAATATTGTATAGGACTAAACCTTACTCATTACAATGAAGAATATTTTAGACATATACATAGTTGAATCTAAAGATATTGGATACTGGAAATATAAAATCCGTTTTTAAAAACAAATACTGTTTCCTGATCAGTTGAGAATTGACAATCAACAAAATTATTCATTAAAAAAAAGACAAAATCAAATGAACCAAGAACAATTTTTTTTCTTGCTCGTATTGCTATCACAGGCAGACCGTACTGACCTTTAGGATCCGAGTGTGAAACATAGTTAAACTGGCAGGTGTACGTGTCCTGCTTTCTTATCAGATAGCCAGTAATATAGGAGATACCTCTAATAAATCCCTTCCTGGCAGGAATACTCTGAAAATCAAATTTCACAGGTGACTTTTTGCATAAAATATCACACTCTACAAGACAGATTTCAAGCAATTCTCATAGATTTAGGGCTATTTAGATTAATTAAGATCAAAATGTGACAGAAGATACCTTCTGCCTGTCCTTCATCCTAATGTGCTACCAGTACATAAGCCATGTAGTACATACTGTCCATGATGTAGCCCAACTACACACACATCAGGTCTTTCATTCCGTGTCATTATAAGCAAAATGTTTATTGTCCTCTGTATCGGAGTAAAACTGATCAATATAACTAACTCTAATATTACAAGGGATATTTCTGTAACTTTTGCTTCAGGAATTTTTTTCACTGGTATGAGATGGGGCATTTTTGCTTCATTTTGGGAAGAAAATTGTTGAACTTTCTAAATTGCAAATTTGGGGATTTTCGCTTAAATATTAAATCATTTCAATCTGGGATGGAACCCATTATTAGATCCAAAAAAGCCCATAAATGATTCGTGCATAATTACCAAAAGTGGCAGCCCCCAGGTATGCAAGAATATGCACATCATTATCATTTGATGGAACTAGGGTGTAAGTCAATCAGAATCAAGAAATCACCATGTGATGTAGCACTTCATGTGTCCTATATAAAATGAGCAGAAAAGGAAATATGGCAAACTTTCATCTATTTGAAATTCTCTGCTGGAAATCTTTTTACATACTAAGTGTATGTTTGTATACTTACAACATACTGCATAGTTAACAGAATAGTGGAGGAAATGAACTCTGATCCTGAGGTCAGTCAGGGCAATGCTTATTGCACGGTCAACAGAATGGTTGAGAAAACAAAAGTGATTCTGTGGTCAAGCCAGAAAGAATGTATTACAAAGCCTCTGCTTTAACACTTACTGCATGGTTACAGAATGCAAAACTCTGACCCAAGATCAAATCAGGATCAGTGAGTTTACATCTCTGTTTAAATACTTACTGCATGGTTTACAGAATGGTTGAGGATACAAAACTCTGACCCTGAGATCAAGTCAAGATCAGTGAGTTTACATCTCTGTTTAAATACTTACTGCATGGTTTACAGAATGGTTGAGGATACAAAACTCTGACCCTGAGATCAGGTCAAGATCAGTGAGTTTACATCTCTGTTTAATTACTTACTGCATGGTTTACAGAATGGTTGAGGATACAAAACTCTGACCCAAGATCAAGTCAGGATCAGTGAGTTTACATCTCTGTTTAAATACTTACTGCATGGTTTACAGAATGGTTGAGGATACAAAACTCTGACCCAAGATCAAGCCAGGAACGCTGTGTAACAAAGTCTCTGTTTTTAAGAGGTGAAGGGCATTTCACTGAAAGTTGAAATGAAACCGTGGAATCATTAATGGGATAAGTAAACCCGATAAAAAAAGTTACAAAATACAAAATTCTGTCAAAAAGAAAAATTTTCTAATTATTTATCCCGATTTAAGATGCACACCCTATGACATATACACATACTAGATTTGTTGACTGATGGGAGTAGGGGAGATCAGTCAGTGTTCTGTGATATGTGTGATATATGTGAATCCCATTCTGGGCTGTAGGGAGAAGAGGTAGGGGGTCAGTCAGTGTTCTGTGATCTATGTGATATGTGAATCCCATTCTGTACTGTAGGGAGAAGCGGTATGGTGGTCAGTCAGTGTTCTGTGATCGATGTGATATGTGAATCCCATTCTGGACTGTAGAGAGAAGAGGTAGGGGGTCAGTCAGTGTTCTGTGATCTATGTGATATGTGAATCCCATTCTGGACTGTAGGGAGAAGAGGTATGGGGTCAGTCAGTGTTCTGTGATCTATGTGATATGTGAATCCCATTCTGGACTGTAGGGAGAAGAGGTAGGGGGTCAGTCAGTGTTCTGTGATCTATGTGATATGTGAATCCCATTCTGGACTGTAGGGAGAAGAGGTAGGGGGTCAGTCAATGTTCTGTGATCTATGTGATATGTGAATCCCATTCTGGGCTGTAGAGAGAAGAGGGAGGGGGTCAGTCAGTGTTCTGTGATCTATGTGATATGTGAATCCCATTCTGGACTGTAGGGAGAAGAGGTAGGGGTTAGTCAGTGTTCTGTGATCTATGTGATATGTAAATCCCATTCTGGACTGTAGGAAGAAGCGGTATGGGGGTCAGTCAGTGTTCTGTGATCTATGTGATATGTGAATCCCATTCTGGACTGTCTGATATACGAATCTTACACTAGACTACAACTGCTTCTCGTTGAAACTGGAAACCTCACTGAAAGCTCAGTGATCATGCATAGCTTTGTAACATAGCCAATTTCTGTCTACATGGGAATCCCAACATTGTGAAATATATATTAACCTCTTTCTAATGGATCATCATAGAACTGCATACTGTGGTACTACCTTGTAATCTTGCTTCGGGATCTCTGCAAATAATTGGTATCTGTGTCCTCTTCTAAAATTCTTAATTTGATATCAAACAGTGCTCAAGTTCCAAATGGATATTTTTACTCAATTCCACATCAAACTAATCTCATTCTAGTCATGAGAACAACAAATTAGATATCAGAAATAAAAAAAATAGTAATTTACTTATGGACATTGTAGATGACATAGTGAATAGTAAAAGCCCTACAGCTTGAAATCCAATACTAAAGGTTTTACAATCAATCTACAGCAACTACAAACAATCCAAACTGTAAAACCGATTACCTACAAAGTCACTAATAGATCGTCTAAACCAGTATTAATAATGGATCAAGTACACAGGGTCTCATCATCTTGTGATAATAAGTTTAAATTTAGAACATCAGCAGGGGAAAGTAATCAGATGTCTACCTACGTTGTCTCAGGTAATCAGGCTACTGCAGTTTCACAAAGCAATAAATTAGATTAATATTTTATGAAAAGCAATTGATTCAAGAAGAACCTTGAGTGTAATTTTACTGAAAAGATTTTGTGTTTCTGTTTAAGATGTAAGCATAACCATAAAGGATTACAAAATATAAAGTGAATTAATATGTTAATTTCAGAAAACATTAGTGCCTTCATTAAAAAATTCAAACTTTTGAAAAACAAATGGTTTAATCTTCATTACTAAAATCCAAACTGTTAAAAACTAAATGGTTATTTCTAGGTTTTAACGCATACAGTATTATTGTTTATACATCAACACTACACCAAACAAAGGGCTTGATATTTTTCTCCTGGATTTATAGTTATGGTATTTTGAATAAAGGCTTCGAAACCTCATTCATTTTGAGAATGTTCGTCAAACTCATTAATTACCTTTCAATGACTTTCTTACATTTAAAATGTTCCAGATTAATATTTTCCATAAAAATCATTAATTCGTCATTAAATGTAAGGAATACTACAGTTTATAACAAAACAAATTGTTTATCCATCATTTCTTTACAGTATACTGTCCTAGTTTTATATACAAATTACTACCAAAAGTATTCTCCAAATCAAAACCCTTGTAACTAATTTTACATATTTGAATTTAGTAAAAACTTATTACATCCTACAATGTTACCACAATTTTTCCAGTAAATTGTTTGCGACATCATAAGGTTTATATTAAGCAAAGGATGTTGTAAAGGAATATTTTACTAGGCTGACTAGTCCTGCCAGCTTTGATAAAACCATAGCACATGGTATATGTCTGATAAAGGATTGAAATACAATATACACACATACGTATTGGCTGCCATTGCTCTTTGATTTTAGATTCCAGAAACTGATATAATACTAAATATTGATCTGCAACAAGTAAGCTATACCAGAGGAAAAGGTACATATTGCAATTATTCTTGGCATCAAATTTTTTTTAAAAAACGTTGTCAATCAAACATAACTGAAAGCAGTGATTTTAAATAAATATGATTTTTTTCTGGGTGTACTAAGCTAAGCTTGCATTGCTATTTGGTGTAAAGTTTGTGGAAAATTTCATAAAAATCTGATAGGTCATTCAGAGGCAATAAGAAAAATAGACCAAAGCTAGAAACTCGGAGTGAATTTGGCTGTAATGATTGGTATGTTTCTGGATATAAGTTATAACTAGTGATCACGGCTACTCATAGATACAAATGTGGTCAACAATAAGCACAAATTGAGTATTATATAAGTATATAAGACAAGTTTTACCTAAATCTGATAGCTGTGCATATCTTAGATGTTCTCTAGTCTGAAATTATATTCATATTAATACCTATATATATCAGAAATCAATATGAAATGATACGTCTTAGTTTTAACCAAACAGAAACTTGAATGGAAGAATCAATTCAGTATATGTAAGTAACAGAATGCTTCGGATCAATCAATATATTCCTTCAAGAGTAAACCAATAAATTGTATTGGCTGTCGATGTATTACATATGTACAAGGAGCTTGTTAATTATGCCTTTACTTCCAACAGGTTACCAGAAACTTTGGAAGGCAGTGGTGATTAAACAATAACAAAGCAGCATTAAATGGAGTTATCGGTATTTTTAACTGTATATCAAACCAAATCCTTGATTACTTACAGTCAGTAGTCTGTACTTTATTGTCGGAATTGTCCTTCAAACTACAAGAAATTGATTTTCTTGTGGTGACCTAAATTTATGTACATAAACTACAAACTATTAAGTAAACAGAGCATCAAAAACTATTACATAGGACCAAGGAAACATAGCCGGAAAACTGTTACATAGGACCAAGGAAACAGAGCCGGAAAACCATTACATAGGACCAAGGAAACATAGCCCGAAAAACTGTTACATAGGACCAAGGAAACATAGCCGGAAAACTGTTACATAGGACCAAGGAAACATAGCCCGAAAAACTGTTACATAGGACCAAGGAAACATAGCCGGAAAACTGTTACATAGGACCAAGGAAACATAGCCCGAAAAACTGTTACATAGGACCAAGGAAACAGAGCCGGAAAACTGTTACATAGGACCAAGGAAACAGAGCCGGAAAACTGTTACAAAGGACCAAGGAAAAATGAGTCTAGAAAACTGTTACATAGGACCAAGGAAACAGAGCCAGAAAACTGTAACATAGGACCAAGGAAACATAGCCCGAAAAACTGTTACATAGGACCAAGGAAACATAGCCGGAAAACTGTTACATAGGACCAAGGAAACATAGCCGGAAAACTGTTACATAGGACCAAGGAAGCAGAGCTCGAAAAACTGTTACACAGGACCAAGGAAGCAGAGCCCGAAAAACTGTTACACAGGACCAAGGAAGCAGAGCCGGAAAACTGTTACATAGAAGCAGAGCTGGAAAACTGTAACATAGGACCAGGAAACATAGCCGGAAAACTGTAACATAGGACCAAGGAAAACTGAGTCCTGAAAACTGTAACATAGGACCAAGGAAAACTGAGTCCTGAAAACTGTTACATAAGACCAAGGAAACATAGCCGGAAAAACTGTTACATAGGACCAAGGAAGCAGAGCCCGAAGAACTGTTACATAAGACCAAGGAAGCAGAGCCCGAAGAACTGTTACATAGAATCTGTCCAAATTTGTTCGATAAACAGAGCTCCAAATTTGTTCCATAAACAGAGCTCCAAATCTGTTCGAGAAACAGAGCTCCAAATCTGTTACATTAACAGAGCTCCAAATTTGTTCCATAAACAGAGCTCCAAATCTGGTCTGTAAACAGAGCTCCAAATCTGTTACATTAACAGAGCTCCAAATCTGTTCCATAAACAGAGCTCCAAATCTGTTCCATAGAACAAAGGAAAGCAGAGCTCTGAAAATGTTATGTAGGACCATGATAAAGTGAGCCTGAAAAAGATACATAGTACAAAGGAAAACAAAGCCCCAAGAAATGTTATGTAGAGTTCGTGCCCAACCCAATATAAGGAGAGGTTTGGATTTAAGATCAATTGGTTATGTAACATATAAATCACGCAAGGATTCAAAATCTAAGATCATAAGCGAATTATGAGTATTTAACTACCATTGGCTAAGCAGAAAATGTAAAGAAAAGTTACTGACAATTAGAAATCATCATTCGTACCAAATTCAGTTTATCTGAATAAAATTTGTTACTTGATATATCACACATCAACCTGTAAATGACTTGTTATGCTCTGTATATGAATTAAAATCATGACCACATATATTTTCACTAATCGCCAACTGAAGATCTTTCAGAAGTTTTATTAACAATCATTTTGTATAATCACCTGAAATAGAGATCACATATACTTAATTCCCATTTCAGTTTCAAGGAGTTCTATCCTTCTTCCACACAAAGGTCACTCCATTCATTAATAAAGTGTCCTCTGTTGACAAGTTCCTTGACCTCATCATGATGACGATATAAACGAACACCTGACATAAAATCTTGATCACAATTTTAACGATGATCAAGTACTGCTTTCTAAATTTAATTCAGTAACAATGTATAGATAGAGTACCTGTATATCTATGCATCGAAATTGTGAAGAAATATTCCTAAAAAATGAAGGTATGTTTTTGGTCACAATAGGGCAAATAATGAATCCCCCCTCAACACACACACACACTTTACCTCCCTATAACTCAGAATGTTCTCCAACCTGATCATAATTTCATATCATATCATGACACCCTCATACCAAGGTATTCATATACAAAAAACAAACCATATAGCCACCAGAAGGCCCTAATTGGCACTGATCCTTTAAAAAGTGTACTTGTAATAGGGACTGATTACTTACTTGCATAGTATCCTATATCATTGTTTGGATTGAGTGCACAAATTTCATAGCCTTCCAGCATGGACATGTCCCAGGTCTTCCTGTAGTAGGGATCGTGTAACACATCGTACAGGACTTCTGCCTTCACATCTGTGAATAATGTCCGCACCTAAATGCAACAAAAAAGTACCAACAATCAAACATATATGATACTTTATCATTTCTGTACCCTAAACATAACAAATCAATCATTAATCATCGTTCATATCTGAAACATCAAGAATTAAATCATTTATCAAAATTTAATCAGTTATCTAGTGCCATCCTTTGATAATGTAAAACTATCACTTAGTGATTCTGAAAGTAAATCAAGATTATTCATTAAAATAAATTTGATAGCCCTTCCTTCGAAAGCCCTTCCTCTAAAGATGTTACCAGCTCCAAGAGTTATGATAAGAGATCATAGGTTCAGAGGTATAAATTATGATCAAGCACCAATAAATTATACTTTAAAGGTATAAAAAGATGTAATGAATAGAATGTATTCTTTGTTTCTTGATAAGTAATTAAAAGTTATATTTCATCGGCTAGGGTGGAAACTTTTTCACCAGTGTGCACATATTGAAGTTTCTGTCCCAATCAATGATAAAACACAGTATATCCTCTATATGGCTGAGCCGGATGATACAGACTTCTTTGAAACTGTGAAAAAAATCAATTAGATATATATTTGATAATATGACTGTTTTGTACATGGTACATCAAAAGTGAACATGTTTGGGGTACAACAATCAAATCACATCACTCCTCCATATCTGCCATATTTGTCTCATAAGTACTTTCCTTCTTTTCACTATAAACTTGACATACAGCCGATCAGAACAATTGAATGATATGCGCTGCTATTTACCTACATGTGAACCATACTTGCCAACTTTCCCAATTCATTTCACAATCATATTGATAAAAAAAATGGCAAGTTATTTCCCGATTTCAGAGATCCTGTTAGTTGTACAAAACCACTGGCCAATGATACAGTATTAGAGAAAGACAAAGTAACAAATTCAAAAGTAGGGCTATATCTTGTATGTTTTATCCATATATCATTATCTATTTAGTTTTCAATATATATGTGACCTAATTACCTTAACAGGTGGTTTTATTTCATATGTCATAGTATAATAAATGCCACCTGTCCTGTTCCACATGAGAGACAGACATTCTAAATGTATGAAAATTTTATTTCTGTACATAGCTAATTACAAAATAAATCATTATAAACTATCATGTTTTGATGAATAAGGTCAGCTATTTATGCCTGTTTAACATGAAGGAAGTCATAACAAGCTGCTGGACAGCCTTCTGTAATTAAAGCATTCAATATTGAAGCTGAGCCACCTATATATTTGGAATATTGCAATACGATATTGGCATCCAATAACCCGCACTAGTAATTACATTTTGTCACTAATTACTAACACTATAAGGTGTTATCACTTTTGTTCTATCAGACAGCTGTGGTACTGTAAACTGAGGTTATTTGAGTTTATTAGTCACTGGGAAGTAGATAATGCCAGATTTTTTTTGAAGTGACACCTGATCACATGAATAATCTGACTCAACACCGTGAGCAAAATTAGAATAAATATAGGTCATAGTAGGCAAAGTGCTTACAATCTTCCATTAATACTGAAATGTATTAGCTACATTGGTATAATTACTGTTTCCAATAAGAAACATACATGTACATCTTTCAAACAATTTTGGTAAATGCTGTCAAATAATTCAGAGTTTAATGTTTATAAACACAGGATATTTAAAACAGAGCTTCCAAAAATATTCCACCCAAAATCTGCATTTGAATTTTTCTTAAAGCTTTCATCATTTTTTTCTTTCATGTCTTTAAGATTTTCATTATCATCAATCAATAAATGTAAAAATAAAAATACTGTATGTATTTCATATATGAATATATAAAAGTAACAGATTGAGTTACAATACTTGTATTTATTGTAATTGTTTCCAGATATTATTCAGATATTGATCTCCAGGGAAACATATACAATGTATTAGGTATACCAGATTCTAATCATACATACATGTACATCTGTAATACTGCTAATATTTCAACACTAACAGTGGTACTTCATATATGTAAATGAGACATTAATAAAAAGATAGTTACTTTTTAAAGTTATATTTAAGAGAAAGGTACCGAATTCCAAATACAACATATAATTAATTTCATTTCCCTGCATACCTTTCTGTATCCATACCAAATGTGCAGCACCCCACTGATCAACCTACTTTCTTTAAAACTGACATTAGCTCTACTCTTCTATTTAATCTTCTTTACAATTAGAAATAAATTAATTGAGCATCATAACAGGAAGTAAAGAGATGTTTTACTAACAATCTACATAGTTACCAGCTGTCAGTCTGATTTGTGAGGACGGAAAAGACATTGTTACATAATTATTTGTTAATTTTCAGCAACGATTTATAAAATATGACAGTTTTCAGTTTGCTACCCATAGATGATGATAAGACAAAAACGTCTCCAAATCTAACATGAGGTATGCATTACCAGATCTTTTCCAAACTTTTCCTATTAAGAAGGACTGACAGGCAAATTTAATGTTGCTAAGTACCTTTTGCTTACAGTAGATGTTCAACTATATTTATTTTTATCAGTGTGGCAGATACCTATATGGCCACTTATGAATACCAGTAGGTGAAAACCAACCAATTTCAAGCCAAGATTGTTTTCAACAACAGTTTGTAACTAACAGAGGTCTAATTCCTTAAACTAATTACTTCATAAGACTTTCACTTCAATGAACAAAATGAAATAAATATTTACACAATTATTTCAGAAAATTGGAAAAGTAAAATCTAGACATTCATTGTGAAATGCGCCCTGTGAATTTAAAGGTCAAAACACATACATGTTTGTTAATGTATATACTGGGCTACACAAACTACTATTAATGACATAAAATGATAGAAAATGTGCATTGACATTCAATTTATATACCAAGTTTAGACATCACAGAGATACTGTTAGATGCATCTATTCAAAGTAGGAATCACATATGCAGTAATCAGCTATCAAATATCCTGGGCTACTGTGTATATTTTACATACTGCACTATACTTTGTACCTATTACAGCTGTATAAAAATGAGTATATCATGTAGGTAAACACAGTCAGAAGACATGTTATGATCTAGGTCCCTACAATCTGTTGATCATTTAAAATAACAGAGCTATAAAAATGTGTATACACAAATAATTCATACAAAAGCTGTATTGACCAATCTGAGAAATTCTTAAATTCTGTCTCTTTTTTTATTTTCAAATCAATAAAATGAAATTATGTCATATTTGAAGAAGCTGTATCTTTGCTGTGGTCACAAATGTTTAATATTAAGTTATTGATGTTAAGTAGAGATTTTGAGAATATCAAAAACATTTGTCTATAAATCTACATTAACTTTATGCAATTTTATGCAACTCGGCATTATTTCACTAATATGCTACCCATCAATCCAGTCCAAATTTTGGCTCCACTAACAAGGTATTTTAGTTTCTTTTTCACAATCCTCTTGTCAATGTCTGTTTCTCTCCCCCCACCCCCAACCCCACCCCCACCCCCACTTTAATGCCACACTAAAAGTTCCTTCTTCTGCCAACCTGATGACAATCTCCTTAAAAAAATATAGGAGACTGATTCAATATACACCAAAGTTTGGATGGTGTAATGTATAAGACATACATCAGCAGGGTTTTGTCCACCAATCACATGTTATGGAGCCACCAGTCACTGGCAATGGGATTTTCTCATAAATTCTGGTTTATATATCTCAACCAAAACACATGAATAAGCAGATAGGATTGAATTCACAATAAAATTTTGAGTTATAAAAGTGCAAATTGTTGTAAAAACATTTATTTGAGATGTCATCTTGATAAAAATCTGAACTCAGGGATCAACAGAAAATCTATCTTTCATAATCATATTATGTAATTTACTTAATATACACCTTTGTTTTGAATTTCAAGCTTGATAAAGACTCTGAGTATCATCTTTCCTTGCTCCTTATGGCTGACAACATGCATTATTAATTCACAGTGGATCTGCAACATCTCAGTCCATTTGGCATATGTAACCTCATGTGAAGATCTGAGGTATATGGTTCCACACTTTCTACCCATGGGAGGTTGTGTTTCTAAAAAAAAAACTGAAAAACAGACCAGTCTGTGCAGACATTTTTATGTCCCTTGGCAAAGACATTTTACCCTTACTGATGAGAATAGAAAACATCAGACATTGTGTATGTTGTTTTATAAGGTATCTACCTGCTGCTACAAGGAGACCACACCTCAAAATGACCCTGGTTGTTTATAGGTTGATAAAAACCTGACAAACAACAAATTGATAATGACACTCGATAATCTTATTACTAACTTCTATGTGCTAATAAATAAAATATCTTCTGCAAAACACATTCATTGATGTGCAAGCTAATGTGGTCAATGATATTTTGAAACAATGTCATACCAAACCAAACATGTCTTGTTGTAGGAAATCATGACTTTAAAAGAAATGGTCTGAAGTCACTACAGGTACCTATATAAAGTAAAATAATATTGTAAACAATTTTTTTCTTATTTTTATATTTGAATGTGAATCAAGGGTTCATCAGTAAAGAAACAGGCGATACTCTGTATCAAAGGACCATTATGGACTACTAAATGTCTGGTGTAGAAGCCAGAGAAATCTGTGGCTTATGATAAATTAGTCTGTCCTTACAGGTACTGGTATTTCGTTTTCGATGAAGAGCAGGTGTGAAAACACTAACCAATCAAAAGTATCCTGGAATAAGCAATAGACCTGCATTGCTCAACTGGTGACAGTATTCCATGTTTTTCAAAAACAGACATAAATCAAACATCTTTGTCCCGTATGATTTGAAAATGTGTCAAGGTCATTTCTTTTCACAATTTGTCAACATCATCCCAAGAACTTACCGGTCAAATATCATGATTCTAATTGTAAGTATTTTGCTTAATGAAAATAAAGATGTATACGTCTCTGATGAAAATAAGTCAGTTGTGTGTTTCAAGAAACTTTATCCCTGTTTTTCTAACAGATTTTCCCCATATGATCATGAACTTCAATATGGGTGAAGGTAATTTCCTTTCATAATCTTTGAAAGGCTTCATCAATGAGTTACAAACTATTCTTGGCCTCTATTTTAAATCACCAAGAAATCTTTAAGAGATAAAAAATGTGACCAATAAAGACACATGGAAGATGCCATTCCACAAGATAAGCTCACAGTCACTAGCAGGTCATTTGGGCCATGTCAGACATTGGCTTAGCAAGATAAAAAAAAGTGATAGATCAAAAGAAAAATTTTGTAAGGAATTAGATGGATGTCACATCTGAAGTTTTAAATATCTGATTCATACTTCCAAACATTCCTTCATCTTTCAGGTATTATGACCACCATGGATATGTAATACAATACAACAAATTTACCACTGCTTCTACATTTGTTATTGAAAAAGGTACCACTTGGACCTGACACAATCTTCCAAAACCACTCAACATCCTGACATCAGTGTAAGTAAGCAGTTATATCTTTTTAACCATGTGTGATTTTTAGGTATAATGCTGCTGTAAATTACATTAAACGTAGTCTGAATGCTAACTCTTGCATGGGTCACAACACTTTCACGTTTTCATCTTCGGAGGAATTCCGACTCGACCGCGACCAAGTGAAAAAATAAAAATAAGAAAATAGCTAATGTTGTATAAATGATTGAGACGTAGACGATTGTCTATGGAAACAGTTTTAAATGTTTCATGGCAACATACGTAAGATGGGCAGATATACTTAACGCGGAAGGACTTCATCAATGCACTCCGTTGGCGTTGAAGAGCATCTTTCAAAGATGAATACATCCGCTGGTATGAATTGATAGTTAGTTTTATGACTAACAAAATGTAGAAAAGATATCCTTAATAATTCGTGAATAGGTAACACAAACATTAGTATAAATACTAATCTAATTAAAGTGCTGAAGGTTACCTTGATAATTTTGAAGTCTGACACATCATTATTTTTAGTCCACACGCACGTGTTATTTTTGTTGTATTCTTGTTTCCAGCCATCTTTTTCGTCACACAAAGTCTTCAATCTTTTAAAATCAGCATCTTCTGCCACTCTCACTTCACCGACCTGCATATTGGGCTATATTTGTTGCCTCTGTGATGTTGTTACGGTTTTCAGCGCAGAGTAAACAACCGATCCTGAAAACGCCACACGGTGACTTGTCACTCGTAGCCGGAAGTAGGTCGAAGCTATTTATCGTAAATTAGAAACGGAGTAGGGAACTGAATTTTTTCCCGGTGATTTTCTTCAATGACCCGAGATAACATGACCGTCTAATTCAAAATAGATGTATACATGTTCATCCCCATTAATAACTCAATGATATTCTCAGTTTTATTTTGCGACACCACTCTGTAAATACATTTTGCACAATGTCAATTATTTAAGAAACGAAAAATGACTCTACACAAAGATGAAACGGGACAAAAGTCTTAGCTGAAACCAATTCATTAATGCAGTACCATAGATTTTTTTTATTGTAAACAGTATATTCATTACAGGGAGAAACATTTTTTATGAAAATAAATCAAATGAAGAGTGAAAAAGAAACGAATAGCGTTGTTGATATTCATATACAAGTTGTTGAGACATAAATTAGTTTTAGAAACTAAAACAAAAAGTTAAAATATTTTTCAAACGATCATGTCAATCAAACAGTAAGCACGAAGTTTAAATTAAACGCATATTCAAAACAATACAAGGAAATAAATTATCAGAATGAAACTTTAGTATCTCTTACATGTCTTCGCAAACTTAGATACCATCATCTCTCCAACATAGGTTCTAAAGGTCTGTCTCGTGCGAGAGACCTGAATAAATTTAATTCTTTAGCATTGATTTATGTCATCACAGGGGAAGATCCGAGCAACCTGTTTCGATGCTCCAAAATCCATGGTGGTTGTGTCTCTGAAGGAAACTGAGAAGTGGACAAGACTGTGCTGATGTGATTTGTATCCTTGGATAAGACACGTTACCCTTATTACCGAAAGCGAGGTATAGACCCCACCCAAGTTGACCTGGCCGCATGTTCACAGGACGACAAACAAAAACATAAACCAATAAAAATTGACAATATCGGCAAAGAAACCGAACAACAAGTCTGAATCTTAAAACCGTTCACACATTGGTATAAACTTCCTTATTTCCGTGTACCTTTTTCTTAACCAAGCGTTCAACATGGTGGTGTCAATGAAAAAAGATTCTGCGATATGAAGCTGGGTGTGTTTGATGTTCGTTACTTTTACTGTTGGTTCCCTTGTTATTTCCCTTTTTCTCATTTGAGAACGTGACGTAACTCAGACTAGATTTACATGGCAGGTGCCGTCGATGAAGCAGAAGACGCTTACACTTCCGGATCATCCGGTCTTACCCCCACCCCCTTGTACGAATGTCCGTGTAAGTTTTACTTTTGTTCATATTTTTTTCTAGTTTTATTGAATTTGAGTTTGAATTATGATTATATTGTCTTGTTGTACATTGTAATGCTGTGTATTCTAAACACTAGAAAGTGTTAATTACACAACATTATATTGATACATCAGTTACATCGGATTCTTAATCTGAAATGACATAGACACACACACTCTCTCTCTCTCTCTCTCTCTCTCTCTCTCTCTCTCTCTCTCTCTCTCTCTCTCTCTCTTGTCAGAATCAAATTCGAAATACAATACAATGTACAAAACACCACATCAATTCTGCGCAATCATCATCTTAACTATGAGGGCTTGCGTCAGGGATTGAAAACTTTGTGATTCCTAGGATGAAAATATCAGGTGACGAGGATGTTGATTCTAGATTGTTGGAAATCGGACTACTTGGCTTATATACCTTGAATAATCTAATAGGGTGACGAGCAACTTTAGAGAATTAAAACTATTATTAAATATGAAACCATACAAGGTCGCTGGTGTCGAAGGTAAGTACGGAATGTTTCGTAACAAATATGGGAAAAGGGTGATTGTGATTAGCGTGAAAGTAAATCCAAACAGTTTAGATCCTCGGAAACAACTCGAATACCGGGGATAGAAAATACGTGTGGTACACGTGCACATTTGTCAAGAGTTGCCATGAAGAATCATGACACACATATAAACAGAATAGACATACGTATAATTAATTTAATCGAAAATTGATCTGCGATCTACAGAGGGTGCCGGACATTGTGAACTGTCCCGTCGGAGGGTAAACTACAGATGATGTCGGACATTGTATACTGTCCCGTCCGAGGGTAAACTACAAAGGATGGCGGACACTGTCCCGTCGGAGGGTAAACTACAGAGGATGTCGGACATTGTATGCTGTCCCGTCGGAGGGTAAACTACAGAGGATGCCGGACATTGTATACTGTCCTGTCAGAGGGTAAACTACAGAGGATGTCGGACATTGTATACTGTCCCGTCCGAGGGTAAACTACAAAGGATGGCGGACATTGTATACTGTCCCGTCCGAGGGTAAACTACAAAGGATACAGAGGATGTCGGACATTGTATGCTGTCCCGTCGGAGGGTAAACTACAGAGGATGTCGGACATTGTAAATTGTCCCGTCGGAAGGTAAACTACAGAGGATGTCGGACATTGTATACTGTCCCGTCGGAAGGTAAACTACAGAGGATGTCGGACATTGTATACTGTCCCGTCGGAAGGTAAACTACAGAGGATGTCGGACATTGTATACTGTCCCGTCCGAGGGTAAACTACAAAGGATGGCGGACATTGTATACTGTCCCGTCGGAGGGTAAACTACAGAGGATGTCGGACATTGTATGCTGTCCCGTCGGAGGGTAAACTACAGAGGATGTCGGACATTGTAAATTGTCCCGTCGGAAGGTAAACTACAGAGGATGTCGGACTATTGGAGGGTTGTATACTGTCCCGTCGGAAGGTAAACTACAGAGGATGTCGGACATTGTATACTGTCCTATTGGAGGGTAAACTACAGAGGATGCCGGACATTGTATACTGTCCCGTCGGAGGGTAAACTACAGAGGATGTCGGACATTGTATACTGTCCCGTCGGAGGGTAAACTACAGAGGATGTCGGACATTGTATACTGTCCCGTCGGAGGGTAAACTACAGAGGATGTCGGACATTGTAAATTGTCCCGTCGGAGAGTAAACTACAGAGGATGTCGGACATTGTATACTGTCCCGTCGGAGGGTAAACTTATTCTATTGTGCAACTATGGTTTCTCTCAGCAATGCACATATTAAGCTTCTTCTCAACTTTTAGTGGTTGGATTTAGTTGAAACTGTTAGAAATGATCCTGAGATGGTCCAGACCAAGTGTTGTTATTCTCTGGTCAATCTGAAATGGTTTACGTTTCCATCAGTGAGTGGTCTATAGCTATCGATCTGTTGTAAAATGTTTAAATCCTTGTCTGGATGTCGACCTTTGCAAGAGGCGCTAAAATTTCGTGTTTTCGTACAGGGAGATATTCTGGCTATCGATCGCGACTCTGAAAAAAAAATAAAATCCGGGATAGTTAGTCAGAACCCTTGGACTTATGATAGCCATGCAAAGTGAAACATTGGTAGAGAACATGAAAATATTGTGTGTGCTATGAATTCATTTTTAGTTCAATATTTGACATTTGAATTATCAAAAAAAAAAAATAATAAAATAAAAAAAATCTCTAGCCTTGCTGGGCGTCGAACCCTATATTTTTACCGGAATTGGATGGATCTAGTCCTTCCTACATCACAGCGAGGTTTTGTAAACTTCCGGTGAATAATACCCGGGTTGGTTTGCCGTTTCTGATGTCAGTTATGTGTACATTTTCCTAATGCAGATCTAAAGAGAACAGTACCCAAGTAAGAGGTACGTAAGACACGACTAGTCCACTTATAAAAGTTCCAGTGATGAAGAAATATACCTTTAAATCGTCCGACCAATTGCCAAAGTAGGCGGTGGCTGTAGCAGATCAGCCCTTATAGATTCGACACTTGCCATTTTGTCTTCCCACTAAAGTACAGAAGTCTTACAGATTCGATATTTGTTATTTTATCTACCCACTAAAGTACAGAACAAGCCTCCTTCCTCTCTTTTCTTTCCAGTTTATGACATAAACACTCAAATTAGTTTAGTATATGAGCTTTTCTTGATGACTTAATCAGGTTGGAAAGAACATTGCAATTGCAAGGATGCATTGAAAGTCCAACGCGTTCTCTCATAACAGAGAATTAAAATCCTCTCAAGTAAAACACATTGATGCACAGGTAAGTCATAAAGTGTTATTTTTTATAAAAGAAATTGACAAAATGTCATTTTCTCACTCACAGACTGAGATATTTATCTGATCAGCTACATTTCCTTTCCAAGCAAAGATTTTGAAAATATTTTGTCTCCTTATTAAAAATTTGATAAACCAAACCACCATTGAATCTTGTCATTGACATTAATGAAACCATTTGTCAGAAAAATACACAATAGTACATTCTAAAAATAGATTCACATACCTGTACATTATTTTAATGTGACTGTCCATTCATGTATGATTACACTGTGCTGAGTATGGTTTATTGAAGCAACAAATCAACAAATACCAAAAAGACAATATATTTATGAATTTCTTGTCTACAGATGTAATGTATAGCATGCATTTCTTGGTCAGAATATGGTGAAGATGTTATTTTGAATGGTTATTTTTAAAAGGCATTTAGTGACATACTTGTACATCAGTATGTCATGAATTTTGAATGGGTATATCCTCTGTAATGAGGAGATGTTGGAGTTCCATCACAACCTCGCAAATCCAATGTTGTTTCCAACCAGTTGATAGGTGAGTTCAAAATACAAAGATATGTCTAGTTCATGTGAATGTATATACTGACCTCATCATCATAGTTATTAATGTATCTAACTTCAAAACATTCTGACAATTGTAAAGCAACAACATACAGTGATCAAGCCTTTGAGCTATATCTGTTATACCTAATGGTACAGACGTAGAAGTTGAGAATACAGATCATCTTACTTATTCTTAGCTTCTAGAAATTTTTTCAAGAGTTCTGCAGCAGAAAGAATGCCCTCCTAAAGAACAAGATGTCACAGATTTTATCCAGCATAAACAGGACATAATTCATCACTCATTCCTAAAATAGGTTTGATCCCGTTGATCACATTAAAAATAAAAGATATAGGAGACAAAGACTTGTGGAAATATGAAATGAGTGTAGGAGTTGAGATTATTGTTCACTAGTAGACTAGTAAGTCTCTGCTAGTGGGAATTTCCCTTTGGTCAAGCAGTAGCCTGTTGGCCTTGAGTGTAAAAGGTTGCCTCAGTAAGGGCAGAGAATATTTTATTACTCCCTCTTACAACACAGTTACATCATATCATCACTGACAAATGCTCTCCTGGTATCTATGATGACACTTTACTTCATGAACAATGTGACAGTTTGTGTTTCTCAGGTAGCTGTGTTTGTAGGCAATACTGCTGTTTATGTCATGTGATGGGCCTCCTGTTTGTTGTACAGTGAGGTAGCCACCAGCTATAACCAGAAGACCCTGCCTTACTCTTACGTTATTTTATATAATTATATGGCATTGAATGTATGTCTCACCAGACTCTTACATGATAAAAGACCACTTGTCAGCAGGTTTCTTATGAGACATTGTTTGCAGACTGCAACCTTTTTGCACAAAAAATAAAGATTTTATCATGGACTTTGTCCTGTTAGACAATTCAAAATGTTACGAAAAAATATCACATAATTTGCATATTTGAATTTAGAGGTTTCAAGGCATCATAAGTTTCTGACGATGTAAACTTTTAACATTGTCGGAGAAAACTTACTTGTCAGTACTACCAGGTACCAGTTATTTTATCATGTATAGCATTGAAGAAATAAATACAAATTTGGCCAATTTTCAAACCAGGAGAAGTGTTATAATTAACAGCTGCATTATGCCTTAACAGTCAATTGTCAAAACTATTTCCCTGATGTGTTTGGACCTAGCTACCAGCAGGCCTCAACACTGAGGAGGTGAAATAATTTCAACTTCTTTAGTTTATATTAAAGGCATTTTTTTAACAACTGTTTTGTTACTTGAATAATTCAAAATAAGCAGATACAGCCAATTTAAATATAGCATGAAATTTTAACGGATTGATAGAAGCAGCCATATGCATCCTGTCATAGTTTATCTGGTAACATTGGCAATTATTATCAGATAAACACTTCATCATAATTAAATTTGCAATTACAGAGAGTTGGGTACGAAATCTGGTTCTCGTAGATCTGAGGTATAAGTGTGTTTCTATGTTGTAAGGCTGAAAGTTATGGAATCATGATATTGTGTACATGTCATGTACCAGTACATTTTCTGTAATCAATAGCAAACCTGGACGAAGTGAATGGTGATGGCCAGGAAGCTGCACTGATACTCTACATGTATCAATCAAAATATCCGAGGTCCTGACTTCGAAAATCGAATTGGTCAGAGTGGATTTTTTTGCTTCTTCTTCAGTGACCCTTTGACCTCAAACAAGTAGACCTGTCCTGAGTACTCAGATATTCTGTTTCGGGTTCGGTTTCTACATTAAATACAGAGAGATATTTTGATGACTACACTGTTATCTTCATCAGACAAATGAGCAATGTGAAGCATATTTGCATTTAGGAATACCAGGTACAAGCTTGATTTGAGTGTTCGATTGCTGTATACTGCCATGGCATCTCATTTTGATTTGTACTTCACTGTTACACTAATTTAACAACCATGACATGTGTTTTTATTACCAGAATAACTAAAACAAATTGTACTTTAATGTTGACAGGTAAATCAAGATGACAGCCATTAAGCACACTCTACATCGTGATGTCTTTCTGCCTCATGATGAACGTCTCATCGGGTTTGTCCATGTCACCAAAGTTGGGAGGAAGAAGAAAACAAGTTTTTTATGTGCTGCATGTAAGTTACAAAATTTACTTTAACTTGTAATACAAAGATTGAAGATATTTCAGATGTATATGTTGTATGATAAAATGAGTCTATGTATGATACAAAGGGCTGTGATGGTAGAGTAGGCGGAGCATTGGTTTACATAATCTCAGGGAAAGATCTTAGGTATTTGTATTGCTGTTGGATGCTACTTACCTGTGGCATTTTTTGAAGCTGAGAAACAGACAATTCCATGCTGACATGATTGTGTAATCCGGCAAGACACTTCACTTATTTTTGTTCAGATGGTATGTGATGAGTCACCCGTATGTTGTTCATTAGGTAGCCAGCAGCTACTATAAGGGGTCCCAGTGTAATAATGAGTTGTTCATTGGCATTTAACCCAACAAACAATCCATATATTGCATTGTAAATTGCAGTAGTCTTGTGTTATTTGAAATTTCAGATAAACCAAATTAATTTGTGTGAATGCATGTGTTTATTTTTCCTTCTGTTTCTTTAAGTAAATAATGATCATGAGAGCCCAATCCAGGCTAGGGTATATCAAGTGAAGAAAGCAGACAAGGGAGAGTCCTACAAGAAAAAAACTACTTGGTTGCTACGGGAACTAAAGGTCGTTGATGGCAAAAGTTCAAACAAGGTCAGCAAAGTAGAAATCTGGAATTCAAAATATTTTATTACTGCATTCTTTTATTCACTTAAACAGCCATGAACCTTAAGTGCTGTTGGTACATATTTACAAAACAAAACAGTTCAGCATTGTTGTGGGAAAAAAATGAAAGTTAGTAAGCATATTAGCTTCAGAAATTTGAAACAGACTATAAGTACTTCAATGGCCACTTTAGATCTGTGCTATATTATATAAAACATTCCAGTTTACATGAGATAATTGTGGTTTAATTAAGAGATTTGACAGTGTTAGACACTAGTGTAACCATGAAGATTTGTATCATTAGAACCGTCATCATATATCACAGGAAACTGCTGAGTTTGACCTCCATTTTGAGAAAATCTACAAATGGGTAGCGAGTAGTGTGTCTGACAAAGAGGCTTTCATTTCTTGTCTGTGGAAGGTAAATATCATTTCTTTTTATTGTCAAATTTTACCTTTATCTATATTTGAATCTTGGATTTTACCATCAAATGTTTTGTTTAAATTCTGAAAAAAACCTAAAACATGTTTTGTAAAATAGAGTTGAAGTTTTATAACAATACCAGAAGATGATTTGTTCTATTGTGTTATCGTCTATCATACTTACATCACTAGCCTGAAAAAATGTTCTAAATTGATTTGTAAAATGAAAATTGCTTTCTATTTTATGGATAAAATGTTGATGAGTATGTCATTTAAATACATTTCAATGACTGTAAAATCTGTCATTTTCATGGGGGATTTATTTTCATGGATTTCGTGAGTGCTCTGACCTTATCATTTTAAATGTCCATGAGTAGATTTATTGAACTATATTTACCCACAAAATCAAGTGTTTGTGAAATACTGAGTAATCATTTTTTGAAAAACCATGAAAATGGAGCCCACAGAAATATTTGATTGTACAGTAGAAACTTTGTGTGCTGGTAATCATTTTGTTAGTACTCTTCTATGCAGAAAATTAGGCAGTACTGATTCAATTTCCAATGAGAAATTTTGTATCTCTTTAAAACTTTTTCATGATTGATCCCAAAAGTCCTTCCATAGAACTCTTCAGGCTGTAAGGTCAACAAATCAGTTCACTTATTGATAAATACCGAAAGGAAATTTCTGTAGAAATCCTATATCTAAGGTCATAGAAGCTTTGGAGGATGCTTTCATCAAAACATTTCCATACAATGGATATAGCATTTGATTAAAATTCTAATGAACAGTATCAACTAGTTTCCTGTCTGATCAGTGTGGGCCCAGGAAACTGTTCATCTGATTGGTTTCCTGTAGGAAGTTGTTTTGACTGTTGACTTCTATTAAGGTCATGAAACAATTGTTTTGTTACCAGAATCGTCTAAAATAATCATAGTTAGTCTTGCTCTTGTCACCGTGGAACGATGTAAGACATGCCTAGAATAAGGAAAGCAGTCGTCTGCTTACAACAGCAAACCAATCAGAAGCCAAGACTATATCAATTTAACATTATCGTTTGAATGTGTGGATGTGTTCTGATGTTTTACACTTGCCAACCGTTTTAACTTGAAAGGAAAGTTACGATTTTCTAAAAGATTTCCACGGAAATTGAATGATTGAAAATGCTTGATTTACTTTTATAAGGAGACTTGGGTAGCAGCAGTATATACAGCTTATTACCCAGCATGGGCTTATTGCCTTGATGAACACAGTACTGTATAACAAATGTAACTCATTTTCTTTCCCAGCTGAGTCAGAGGTGTCTTATACAAAAACCGGATTTCATTAATGTCCCTAAACAGTTACTGGAGGGTAAGTTGTACTTATTGTACAAACTTTATTATACAAGACGTAGATAAAGAGCTGGCATGGATAAACTTAACATAAATACCAAGAATGTGTAAGTTATGCTGTGTGTCTTACAGCCAGCAATGATGTATTACAACAGTGTGTGACAGGCAACTATCAATATAGGTCACTGTTACTTTTACACTAAAATTCAGTGTTCAGAGGCGTGAAAAGTGACTTACCCAGTACAATATATTTAGAAAGACCAACATTGATACTAAATTGTCCACTACAGAACTAATTAAAAATGGTGTTTCCTTGTATTTTAGAGGTAAGCCAGCCTTCAGGTGCAGGCCACACTCCCCAGACTGGGGACGACATGGCTGTTCTGGAGGAAGACTACCAGGCCCTGACAGGGAAGGAGGAGTCCGACCTCGCTCTCCTCATGTCCGAGTCACAGGCCGCTATAAGTAATGCGGAGTCCTTTGCTGAGCAACTCTCAAAGCAACTGTCCGTGTTGGATGGGGTAAGCAATGGAAGAATGTTTAAACTATGATGGTAAAGGTGAGATGGGATTGGATCTGTATTTCTGTGTTATCTCAAGCCAACATGGTGCCAAGGTTTGCCAGCTATAGAGAATATGACTATGCCAGCACAGTGATATTTTTACCTCGTGTTACAGCTGAAAAACGACAGCTTCCCACAGCTGCAAAGTTTATTTTCCCCAAATATCAAGGAAAGATTAGAAGATTCAGAAATAACTTCCTAATTTTAAGCGTACCTTCCAAAAGGATGCGTGAGGTTCTGCCATGGGGTGTCGGCAGTGTCAACTATTCCCATTTAACAAGTTCTTCTCCATAGCCAAGAGGCTTAGAATACTGATATGGGGCCAGTAGTATGTTAAAGAAGCTACAGGGTTGTTCAAATGAATGATCTTGACCAACTTTCAGTGTCACAGGAATCAAATGTGAATGACTTCTCAATGAATAAAAGGCCCAGGGTACTGATGGTTGCCCAGTAGTATGCAGGGATAAAGGTTGATATGAGCCAAGTTTGTGGAAATGAATGAATTTAAATCAACTCATTCAATATATTTTCAGATTAACTTCAGATTTTTTGTATGTCTTCATTCAGCAATGAATATTTACATGTAAAATGAGTTTTTGGTTCACTATTGTAACATTGATTCAGGCCAACATCCATTCTATCATGGGATCTGAAGACCAAGTCCTGAACCTGATGAGGTTACTAGATGATGGTATTAATCAGGCAGAGAAAATTGAGGAACGCTTGGACTCTTATGACAAAATACTACAGGTAAATTCATATGATATTGCACTTAAAAAGAAAAGATAAATTTATTGTTACAGAGATTTTATTTGTGATGAATAAGTTTTCATTTGAACTGCAAATCCTTGAAATTCCAGTAATTTGTTAAAAGAAAATGTTACCTTTTGTACAGAATGTAAAAGACCAGATGGAGATGATGAGAGACAAAGACTCGCTAATCAACACTCGTAATAAGAACCATCAACATTTGCTGGAGGAACTGGACAGCCTTGTGGTCAGTACAGCGTTTTTTCTGTACGGGGTAGCTTAGACCACTGTGATGTAATCTGATCATCCAGACTAAACAGATGGTACAAAAGACACACAAGTCACTATCACCTTTAAAACAACTTTAGAGTTGATATTCTAGAGCGAAATAATAAATTATACTGTATTATGCAGCTGTTTTGTGGTCTTCATGTGTTACAGTAATTATTTGAAGACTGATACATAAATGTTATAGGCACTTATGAATTTAAAAGAAAGCAAATTAATGTCATAATGTATTTTGTCAAGAATCGACAGCACTAACATTACACATCATTGTCGTAGAAATTACAAGAGTGTTTGCCGATGTTCTGACGACAGCTAGCTTGAATCAATCAGAGAGCACATGATTGGAACATAAGTCACCTTGTTTCTCATTTTCATTTCAGTAATAATTACCATAATTTTAGTATGCAAAATATGGTACCTACACCCATCTTTGTATCCCAAAAACAAAAGATTCAAAAATCCCGCCCTCCCTACGACCATGAGCCTTCGCGTCATGAACATAGAGTTATTTCCCTTCCTCTTATCTTTATGGCTACCGGAGCGGGCGGACGTGCTATATTCAGCTGAGTGCCTTCCTTTTCTTTTTAGCTTAAGTCTAGCTTATAGCCGAGTATTTATATATCGGCTTATTGCTTTAAACCCATCATTAACTATAACAGTCTTTTGCAGACATTTATTTAGTTAATATATCCTGCTTTTAGGCCTTTATCGGCCGGCTTTTGTTCGGCCTTTGTTCGGCCATTTGCTATACTCCACGCACCGAGCGCGTATACACATGTTTTGCGCTGTTCGGCTTTTTCGTGAAGTTTTTTCGCTTTTTATCGGTCGTATTATTTATTCGACCGTATATTTTGCTTAGCTTTTTTACGTTTCGTTAGCTTTTGCTTTCGTTCGTATTTGTTTGTTGGAGTTGTGTTGTTTCACTCCATTTATTTTTGTTACGTTTATTTGTATTAATAACTGTTGTTATTTTATTATTTATTTCGTAACAATTATGGATTCAGGACTGCGTCGTGGTTCGGCACGTGGGTGTTCTCACTTCTACGGAGAGCAGGACCCCCATGATGCCTGTCCCTTATGCCGGCCTTGCAGCGAGGCCTCGCAGTGCGAACTTTGTTTGCACGCCGGGTCCGCTGTAAAGGTTCCCCTACCCAGTCGGCGAACTTCTCGCCGGAAGAGGGATTCGTCCTCATCTTCCGGTAAGAGAGGTAAGCCATCCAGGTTTTCTACCCCC